TCTGTCTCTCTCTCTCTCTCTCTCTCTCTCTCTCTCTCTCTCTCTCTCTCTCTCTTTTTTCTTTTCCCTCCTATCTCTCTCGTAAATATCTGTATACTATACATACATAATATATATTATGTAGAACTCAATTGCGTGGCTAGGGCCCAGTTTCATGGCAGGGAGCCAGTTGCATGTCATGCTGCTAATTCCGTGGCAAATTTCTATACACGAAGAGGCTGAATGACATACACCGTGCGGCACACTAACTAATTTGTCATTTTCATGTCGCTTTGAAGAAAACACTTCCTTGCCAATATCGTGCCCGAGATTGCCGAGGATAGCAATGCACGACCGAGCACAATTGGGCACTGAAATTGAAGTCCAGACATTGGCTTTGGCTCAGAATGTTTTGGAAGCAGACGTATTGAGAAATTCTTTCTCGACGGGATGGGCGACGTACGACACGTGCAAAACAAACTGATCATACAAGTGCCGAACATTAGAGATGCTACCCGGGAGTAACATACTACATGAAAAGGAGGAGAGATAAGGAAAATATATGTTTGAACGTAAAGAAGAAGCAAAACCGTCAATCACCCTCAGAAGAATCTCAGAAAAGTGTTGAAGAGCGTTCTACATCTTACAGGAACGACGCCGAAAGAAACATGACCATGGATGTGACTTTAACTATACAATACAAAACACAATGATGAGATGCATCCAAATCATGCAGAGGGGGGCTCTCGTGGCCAGGAGGTTAAGGTGTTGGCTTCTCATTCAATAGACCCCGGGTTCAAATCCGGTACGACGGAAAATTCTCTTCTATGAAATTTTCTCCTTTCAAATCCTTTCCTGCTCTCTAACAATGTTCTGTCGTCTGCTTTCGTTTCCACTTTCTGCCCAAACTCCCTCACCGCTTTTGCCCTCTCCCCTGGGCTGCTGACTCTTCTGCAGCCTTTCTAATGATTCTCCTTGGCTCCTTCTTACTGTTGTCTTTCAGCCACACCCCTGATATTATGGTAGGTAAGATCTACACCTAGCTTTTTCGGACAAAGGCGAAAAATCTCGGAGGTTCCGTATGCAAGTTGCGAACGCTAAAGATCCCTTGGTGGTCCAAATTCGAAAAGAGTAGACGTCGGCCGCCACCGTGGCAAAATAAAAAATGTCATATTAACTGAAAATGAACAGACCTAGAAATCTAATCCATTTGGGTTTAATTCTGTTTCCATACGTTTATGTTCTAGGTCTAGGTAATACTAATACCCTGTCTTGGGTAATACTTTAGATTTATCTACTTACTTGATCTAGATCGAACTATGGTGTGCGAAGAAGGAGAAATGAGACACACAATTGGCATGACGTCATTGCAAAGCAGTGTCGCTTTGCACTTCCGAGAGGAAAGTGGTAACAGTTTTGATGCTAAACCGGATCGTGAAAATTCGCAATGCACTTGGCAATTTGACACGTAATTGGGTCATACCATGCAATTATCTCACATATGTGTATGTGTGTGTGTGTGTCTTTGTGTGTGTGGGTGTTTTGTGTGTGCGTGTGTGTGTGTGTGTGTGTGTGTGTATGTGTGTATATATATATATATATATATATATATATATATATATATATATATATATATATATATATATATATATATATATAGCAGCCCCAGACAGGAGACGATTTAATTAAAAGCTTTAAAAATGATCAGAAAGTAGTGATAAAACCATCTTTTTAAAAAGTACATTTGCAACAATTCACAGCTGGATGCAATTTCCAAATCACGTCACTAAATTTCTTCAACTGTGATATCAAACCAACTTGCATATATAGCACAGACAAGCTTTCATCAAGGTACATCTTCCTACCCTTACAGCAAGGTGCCTACCTAGCAAGGTCAATTTAATTAGTTAATACTGTCCTCATATGACGTTACTTCATCAATTATTCATGAACCCTAGCAAGGAAAGAAGCGTGTCTCCCACGTATTTCTGTACATTACTTATTAAGGAAACTGAATAAAAAAAATATTGATTCAGTCAGTTCCTTCATCTGAACGCAGAATTTCCGATTATGAGAAGTGCCCCTAGACGTCTTTGGAGAAGTCAATTCGATCTCTGTTGACGGCGCAGGATATTGGCCCTTTGGCTCTGCAATATCTTCTCCAGATTAAAAGTTGGCCTGGGTTTTACTCTTTTATGCGTTTTTTCCCGATCTCCATAGCCAAACCTCAACTGAGATGTCATTAGCATAATCTGCTCGTAGACAGATACTCTATATAATATCAGGCTTTCAGATTTCTATTTTTGAGAATATTTTTAGACAGAAATAGTCATCGCTTGTGAATTAAAACTCTTTGTTTATTGTAGAAAGGGTTTTTCATGGCATTCAACAATTGGCTTTGCCCGAGGACTTTGAAATAAAGGTTCTATTTATAGCTCCTTGGCTTTGCACCATCGAAGGTGGACACAGAGTTCGGGCAGGGGTCTATCAAGATTTCTTACTACTTTGGGCGGGCATCACATCCACCAAACACCATCCCATACTTTGGCTAAATCGCTTATTAGTTCTGATATACTCAGATAACAATTTCATAGGCCATTTTGACTGCCATCCAGAAAGAGGAGCAAATTTTCAATTCTATTTGTGACTGTATTGTTTGATCAATTAGTGGGCAGGCTGCTTGGATCCTACCTCCAACGGCCACTACGGACTAAGTGGAATGTAGCATCCCAAATGACAGAAAGTAATCAGATTGAAAAAAAGAATAATTTAAAAAAACCAACAACAAAACTCTCACAATCAACTTCTGAGCGCAATAGCAAAAAACCTCACCTTTACACCTGAGACATCGATATAATGTTAATAAGTGACAACTGTATTATATAACATTACACTGGCATTGCGATTTCAGCTATTAGAGCCACGGAAATTGTATTGGTACTTTATGTAGTGTTACAGGAGAAATATTTGGTTGTGTCAACTACTGAGCACCAAAGCACTATAAAGAAGATAGACACTTCGCCTTTGAACGTCAATTGGGGCATGCTCTGTTATGTTACGTTATCGCAATATCAAAATAAAGATGAAAGTGCAAGGAACAATTTGGAATTATAAGTCACAAAGTATATTTAAAAGTCACAAATTTAAAAAAAAGTCATGTCTCCTCAGCAATCGTTCCTATAGATCCTTTCGAAAAGTAAACAGATAAACAATCCTTTTCCCAGAAGTGTATGTCAACGAAAATCATTCCACAAGTGAGTTGCATTTATCGCAAGTGATGGCTAATGCTCAAGTCATTGCATAGAAATATTAAATTCATGAGGGAGAATGCGTCTCCAGTTTTAAAAAACAACGAATGTCAACTAACAACAATGTCAATGAACAAAAAAGCAGCAAAACAAACAACTTAACACATGATGACTGTAGATGGAAAGTGTGACACATCATGTAATAAAATGCAAACGAAGCTCTTTCACTCTCGTCGACCATCATTCAACCCTTCCCTTACCCCTTATCAAACTGCCCCTTTCTAGGTCAAAAACCAACGCAGAGTGAAGAACCTCTCTTTTCTGTTCTCGCCCCCAGCCATTCACTCACTTAATTATGTGCTCGGAAGCCGGCATATCGACTGAAGAAGCTTGACCTAGGTTCGCACACTCTTTGATCTAGGTTGATTGAGTGTTGCGCTCTGGAGAAAGAAACGCGCGGTCCATCAACACGAGCACAGGTCATAGATAAAAACACGAGAGAGTTCCACTTGGGGATGTAACGCCGGTATCGGGCACCTCGGACTCGGACCATGAAAACTCGGGCTTAATGGGGAGAAACAGGGCAGAAAAGATAAAGAATTGAGTAAACCACCCCCAAACTAAACCTACTCATGAGTTTTTGATAATGGAAAGGTATTCGGAGTACAGTTTGGGCTTACCAATTGCGCAATGTGATTTCTTGTAACTTTGTTGAACGTTAATTAACAAGTAGGATACATTGCCTCCGTAATTCATTTCTCTCTCTGTTTCTCTCTCTCTCTCTCTCTCTCTCTCTCTCTCTCTCTCTCTCTCGCTCTCTCTCTCCCTTTCTCTCTCTCTCTC